TGTGATTGTAAGGATAATACTTCTCTCATAGATTTTTGTGAGGATTAAAAGAGATTACGTATGTCCAAATGGCTGACACATAACAAATGCTCCGTAAATATTAGCTGCTGTTAGTTATACTAGTGGTGGTTGTAGTACATTAGTTACCATTACAGATTGGATGGGTAGTGGAGGTTTTTCCATGTATTTGTAGTCCACCATATCATATGTAACTTTCTAAATTGAAATAGAGTCTAACAGACTAAAGTAATTTATGGTTCCTCTTTCTTTTCTACAGATTGATCCTGAATTAGAAAAAAAACTGAAAATGAATAAAGTGTCATTGGAGTCAGAGTATGAGGTAGAGTACATTAATGCAGTTTCTCTTTTATAACATTCTTCCTAGTCAGTGACTGGTTCTGTCTGCCTTAAAGTAAACTCAATGATCACCAGTGCAAAAAAAATTAATTTACCTTAAATTTATGGTACTGACACAACTATGTAGGCATTGGAAAAGAAAATAAAGATGGGTCTATATTTCATATACCAGAAGTGAATAAATTCTAGATGGATCAGGAGTTTAAAAATGAAAAATAAAATGTTAAAAAGAAAGGAGAAAAACAGATATTCTTTTTGGTGATCTTGAGTTAGAAAGTCCTATTTAAGTGTGATATGTTTTAAAAGTGAAAATTGATGAGTTCATACATAAAAATTCAAAAGTTTAGCCTAAAAAAATAATACATATATTAAGTTACTAGTTAAATGAGAAATCCTAAAAATATTGTTTATCTTATCATGATGAGTTAATTTATTTATATATGAAGATCATCTACATATGAATATGGAAAAGTTCAACAACTCGGTCAGTAGGTACATGGGCAAACCATATGAAGAGTTCAGAGAAAAGGAAATATTCTTAAAGATATATATTGGATGTTACTTAAAATTATAATGAGGTGTCATTTTGTACCCATCTGATTAGCAAAAATCAAAGAATTTGATAGTACATTGTATTATAGGTTGTGGTAAAGAAGGACATTCTCCATCTCTTATAGTTATGTTCGTTTTTTGGCTCGTGTTTGGATCGTATTTTCCCGTATCTTTGTATGTTTGGTCATTTTTTTTTTTCATGCCATAAGTTTATTTACAGACATCTAGTATTTTGAACTCAAGAGTTTGATCCATTTTCAAAGAGACTGCACCTCTTAAAATGCTCCCCTGCATATCTGCTTCATGAATTAAGTAAAATATCCTTATTTCTTAAGCAGTTGTCGTCTTACTATAAAGAAAGATGCGGCAAATCCAGACCCAAGGTACAGAGTCACCATAATTAGTAACCGCCACTTGTTTTCCACCAAAAACAGCAAATTCTTCCCTGGGCCCTCCTCATAGTGGCTCCTACGCACCACAGAGGTTGTGAACCTCCGGATGCTCTGTCCCAGCATAGCGCTGTTGGGAGTTCTGTGAAAGGTGCAGAGACCAAAGGCGGAAGAAATGGCGGCACCACACCAAGTCCTCCGATTTTCACGACCTTGTTCCCTGAAGTGTTTGGTCATTTTTAAGTGAAAGGTGAACACTGTGAATAATAGATTGAAGAGACTTGTGGAGAGTGTTGATTTTCATTTAAGCAAGCAGTTAAATAATTGGCGGGGATCATGTTGAGCCTGGTTTTGTGCTTTGTAAGGAAGATCTATGGAAAGCTTTTAATGTGTCCTCAACCCCTTTAACTCTGTGGGTACTCATTTCCAAATTATCTCCCCAAAGGATCTTCTTAGAGCTTGGCTTTAAGCTTTATTGGGGTGAGTCTAAAGTAGGTCTTACTCTTAGCATAATCCTTAGGCCTAAAAAGCAGTTTTTTTGTTGTCTCAGCTGGATGTCAAGGTAGCAACTAGATTATTAAGGAAAGATCTCCACTCTGGCAGGCCTGAAAATCCAGCATCAATACTACACTGCTTTTCCTCAGCACTTCTTGGCTCCTTTCCACACTCAGTTGTACAGCAGTTGGCTGTCACGTGGTAAGCCTGAGGTGGCCTTGCCTCGCACAGGTATAGCCTAGTGTTCAGCACCTCCACATATTTTGCAAAATTCTATAGGGAATCTTTACTTCACCATAGCTCTCTGAAGAGTGGACCACTTTTATATGAAGTTGTTCTCCCAGCCTTGCATCCCATCTAAGAATTATCCTTACATTCTCTTGAGCATAGATGTCTAATGTATCTGGGTGAAGGCCATTAATTATTTCTTAAGACCTTTTTATAACTTTGGATCATTTCATACTATACTTGAAAATAATTTACTCTCTTCTTGGACACTAAATTAGTAGAATTTTGTTCATCCATATATACTTAGTACAGACTCCTGGTAAAACTATAAGTGAAATTCAGAGAGTGGTTTCAATTCACTACCTCTCCATTATTTTGTCAAAACCTCTAAGTTGCTACTTCTTGATATATAAGCACTGTGTTAGTAATGATGCTGGGGAGGGTTTGCCTGGGAGTAGCTTTTCCTTATAGTTCTTTGAGAACTGAAGAAACCATATAGACCATTTTGTTTAGTGTTTTCATTATTACTTAGGAGGGAATTAGTGCCTAGATGGCTTAAATTACTTGCCCAAGGTTATACAGCTTTTAGTAAAAAAGCAATGCTTATTATTCCAAGTATCAAGGTAAATTTCTATTATTTTCCCTGTCCCTGGATAAGCTATCCTGGGTTCTCTGAACATATTTTTCTATTTTAACTCAATTTAAGTTCAAAATAATCAAAGCAAATGTGTGAAAGTTACTGTCAGAGTGGTGTCAGAGGGTGAAGAAACATTTACCTTCTTCCCTTTTATCCTACCTTCATTCCTGTGCTGGAGAGATACTTCATACTAACTGAATATTATAATCCAGACTGGACTGGAAACTAGTTTTTATTGCCCGAAAGGGCTTTGTTCATAGCAGCTATGGGGAATATCTTTTCATTCTTAAGCCCAGCCTCATTTCCCAGGTATGGGACACATCATCTTGGTCTCTTTTCTTCCTTCTGGCACATTTTAGGGTATCCATCTTTGTTCTTTCCTCTCATTCATTACCGTCACCCAAGCCAACCCATCCTAATCATTACATTAATATGCTGGTTCAACCTTCAGAGTTTCTTTGTGCTCTCAAAAATAAAGCACGTAGACTCTTGCTATCTTAATAGTTTTATTCTGATGGGAGAAAAGATAGGCATAATGTCAATAGCAAGCAAGAAAAATCCTAATCCTAAGAAATATGACAGTTCTTCAGTTATTGTGCTTGATAAGCAGTTGATTTATTTGCTAAAATTGTAATTAAGGGCCTATTGGATAATTTACATTTACTTATTCATTCATTCATTCAGTGATGTCCTAATCAAAGCCACTAACATATATGTACTTTAATTTTTGTGGCTCTATAGAAAATAAAGGACACCACTTTTGATGACTGGAAGAATATTCGAGGACCCAGGCCTTGGGAAGATCCTGAACTCCTCCAGGGACGAAATCCAGATATCCTTAACACTAAGACAACTTGACTATGCTGATTCCTTTTTTTTTTTTTTTTGGTGATATATCAACTGAAATTCCTGCTACATACTCCTATCCAGTGGGAAGAAAAATTCCACACTTGCAGAAGCCTGATGTGAGTAATTTAATGACAGATAATCTTGATAAAAGTCAAGTACAGGTTCTTATATTTCCCAGCTCTTCCATTTTCAAATGAAAGTAACAAGGTTGATATACACATATTTTATACTGCTCAATAAAAATGTGAATACTGCTACTTAGAGAGTGTCATTTCACACGCAGCTACCCACCCAGATTCCTTTCTCACCCTACAAAGGCAGCATTCTTATACTTCAATCTGATTCCTAATGAGAATAGTAGGTCTAGATCCAAATTCTCACAGTAACATCAAGCAGTGATTTTATGTCAAACTATGCAGGAAAATAATATTAGTCATATTCTGATAAGAGTCTTAGTTTTATTTATAATACCTCATGTGGAAATGCTAATCAGTTTCCAAAGCATTACCTGATGATTGTGTTGATACCATTAAGATGTATTAAGAAGATTATATTCTACCTGGTTAAAGCAAAAAAATCATGGAAGTAGAACATACTATATGCAGATACAGCAGATTTGTTCAGGTCTTCCACAGATGACTACAGAGAGAGAAATACTGATTTAAGATATGCCTTATGTCTTAGCATAATTTGCATGCAAATTGACTAGTTTTTTTTTTAACTTGGGGTTTACTGTAATATAAATACTAGGCAAAAGTTAGAATTGAGGGATGTTAGTTTTTTTAACTCATTTCTTCTTTTCATCCCTGTCTTGCGTGGCTGTGAACCCCACTTTCTGATACTTTCTCAAGAGTTCCAAATACCTAAAGTGTAAGTTGAAATGTGCCCCATATAATTGTCAAATATTGTAAGTCCACCCACTTCTGCCTCAATCAGAATCCCTATTTTCAGTGGAGTAGTTTTAGCAAAAAAGGAAAGCAAGTTGATTATCTACCAGTGATACTTTGTGATATAGATAATTTATAACAGTTATCTGTGGGAGCAATTGGATTTCATAGACCAAAAAAGAAAAGAAAAAAGCTACCACCTAAACTCCACTCTTTGTACAAAAAAAGTCAAAATGGATCAGATTTAAAATCAGATTTAATTTAAATCAAAACAAACTTATGAAAAAATATAAAGAAGTTTCTTAATGAATAGTTCTTACCATAAAATTCTTCAGAAGAAAACTTGATAAATTTGACCTCATGAAATTTAAAACTTTTTGCTCTACAAAGACGCTGTTAAAAGGGTAAAAAGATAATGTTCAGACTAAGAGAAAATATTTGTAAACTATATATGTGGCAAAACACTTATATGTAGAATACAGAACTCTGAAAACTCACCAGTAAAAAAAGCAAACAGTCCAATCATAAAATGGGCGAAAGACATAAAGTTACATTTCACTGAAAAAGATATATGGATGGCTGTGGATAAAATGAGAGTTCCTGTGGCCAGGATTCTCACCTGGCCCTGGTTGACTGGCTCACTGCACACCTGTGAGCAATACATGGCTGTTGACTCTATATAAAGAGTTCCGCCCAGTACTCTGTGTGCGATACGGTGGCAGGGCTGCAAGGCTGCAGGAGAGCAGAGCAGAGGCTGGAGTGGTGGCAGCGTCGAGGACAGGCCCAGAGGATGGCTGTGTGGGATGACTGTGCAGAGAAGCCCAGAGGACAGCTGTGCAGACAGAGGGGCCCAGAGGCAGAGACTGGCTTGCTGCATACAGACTGGCTCTGAGTGAATGGGATTCTAGTGACTGACCTGCCACCTGGAAATAAAGTTGGGTATAACCCTTTCACCCCAAGGAGCGTTCTGCTGTCATGTTCTTTGGTCACATTGAATCCATAGTGAACTTGCCCAGAGCTGAAACCCACTGGCAAGACAATGGCAAATAAGAATATGAGAAGAATGTTTGACATCACCACCCATTAGGGAAATACAAATTTAGACCACACTAAGAAATCACCGCATACCTATTGGAACAACTAAAATTAAAAATAACGACAAAATTAAATTCTAACATGGATGTGGAGAAACTAGATCTCTCACACTTTTGTTGGAGTAATGGAAAATAGTACAACCATTCTGGAGAACTTTGACAGTTTTTAAAAAACATCACAGGGACTTGTGGTTTCCAGTCCAACATGTAGGAATCTTGGAAGTCATAACTCTCACCCTAAAACAAAGAAAAAAGCTGCTAGAAATCAACAACTGTGTTTTGATCCATAAGAGAACTGAGGTCACAGGACAAAACTACCACCCTGAAAACTCTGACACAAAGTACGCGGAGAATCATAGTTTAGTTGGAAGAAAACCACCTGGGAACCACTGCTGGAGCTAGCATCAGGTAGGAATACTTAAAGGGTAATTGACTAGAGACTGAGCGTGGACTAACTTGAGAAGTTAACAACTGGAGAGCAGGCCAGTGGCACACTTGTGGGTTTTACTTTGTGGAACTCCACCAAGTTCTCACAGTGAATATTGGATAAAAATCTCCTTGTGCTTCCATCAGAGGGAAAGGAAAGTAACCATTTTAAAATGTGCCGCCCCCACCCCAAAAGTTTTTTTCTCCATAACAGAAACATGGCCTCAAAGGAAACTGTTTTGCTACAGCCTAATTAACTGGGTTTCAGGAGAGCCTAACCTAGTGGGGTAAGAGAAATACACAACCCCAGCCCCCTCTAGCCTTTCTGTCTTACCTAAACGGAGGCAGGGAGGGTGGCGAGAAAGACTTAGAAGCAGTTGTGAAGGTTACATCCCAGGAACCAAGATCATTAAAGACTGAAACCTAATTATAAGATGATATTTCCCCTCCCCCTACCCAGTGCCACCACATTACTAAAGGCCTATTCACTGGAGTTTGTTTTACCCAGTCCAACTGAGTAATGTCCAACTTTCAACATTAAAAAGCATACTAGACAAAAAGCATAATTTGAAAAGACAAAGCAAGCATCAGAAGCAGATTCATATGTGACAAAAATGTTAGAATTGTCAGACTGAGAATGTTAACTAATTAATGGGCTTAGAGCTCTAATGGAAAACACAAAACTTGAAGGAACAAATGGGTAATGTAAGCAGACAGATGGAAGTTCTAAGAATCAAAAGGAAATTCCAGAAATAAAAACACTGTAACAGAGAGAGTGCCTTTGATGGGGTTATCAATGGAGTGGACATGACTGAGGAAAGGAAAAATGAAGGTGAGAGTAAGAGGGAGGGAAAAAGGTACATATACCATGCTAACACTAATCAAAAGAAAGCTGGGGAAGCTATTTAATTTTAGGCATAGCAGACTTCAGAGCAAGGAAAGTTATCAGGGAAATTATCAGTGATAAAGAGGGAGTATTACATAATAATAAAGCAGTCAGTTCTCCAAGAAGACAGAAAAATCTTTAACATTTGTACCTAATGACAAAGCAGCAAAATACATAAAGCAAAAACAGAAAATTGGAAAGAGATGAATCTACACTTACAGTTGGAGACTTCAACAGCCCTCTGTCAGAAACGGGCAGATCCAGCAGGCAGCAAATCAGCAACGTCATAGTTGAACTCAACAATTCCATCAGTCAACTGGCCTGACATCTATAGAATACTTATCCAACAACAGCAGAATATACTCTTCTCCAATACATACCTAACATTTATCAAGACAACATTCTGGGCCAGAAAATACACCATAATAAATTTAAAAGAATAGAAGTCATACAAGGTACCCTGTCAGACCACAGTGGAATGAAACTAGTAATCCATAACAGAAAGATAGGTGGAAAATCCCAAATACTTGAAGATTAATCAACACACTTCTAAATAACATGTGTCAAAGTATAAAGAGAAATTTAAAATATTTTGAACTAAATGAAGTTGAAAATACAACTTAGCAAAATTTGTTGGTTTGAGGAAAAGCAGTACTTCAAGGGAAATTTATAGCATTGAATATACATATTAGAAAAATATATATAAAATTACTAATCTAAGCTTCTAATCTAGGAAACCAGAAAAAGAGCAAAATAAACCCAAAGCAAGCAGAAGAAAGAATAAACTAGAGCAGAAATCATAATCAAAATGTTGGAAGAGAAAGGAAATCTTGAAAGTAACAAGAGAAAATATAGTAAGCTTGGCAGATGATTTCTCATCAGACACAATGGAGGCCAGAAGGCAGAAAGATGAAATATTCAAAGTGCTGAAATATAAAGTCAAACAATAAACCCATAGCCAGGAAAAGTGTCTTTCAAAGAAGGTGACAAAGAAGGTGAAATAGACATTTCTAGATAAACAGAAGCTGAGAGAATTCTTTGCTAGCAGACCTGCTTTACAAGAAATACTGAAGGAAGTTCTTCAGGCTAAAAGGATGTGAGACCAGGTATAATTTATATCTCCAAGAAATGACAAAGAGCATTAATAAAGATAATTAGGTAATTATTTTTAAAAAGTTAACAATTACTGTTTCTTTTTCTTTTTTTTCATAATTCATTTAAAAACCAAACACTTGTATTTTGACATCTATAACATAGAAATGTCATATATCAGGCAATAATAGAACAAAAGAAAGGGGTAGAAATGAAGCATTATTGGAGCAAGGAAATGATACCAGATGGTAACAGTCCCCAAGAAGCAATGAAGAGAACCAAATATGGTATTAAATAAGAATGTTAATACAGAAAGTTTAAAATTAGGTTTAAAAAACTTCTTTAAAATACATAGGACAGCATAAATCAATGATTATAACACTTTTGTCAGGCTTGTGACATACATAGTGTAATATGTATAGTAATAATACAAAAAGCAAGGGAGAGAAACAAGCTAAACAGGGAAATTTCTATATCTTATTGAAATTAAGTTAATATAAATCTGTAGTAGATTCTGGTAAATTAATATGTATATTGTAAGCCCTAGAGTAACCCTTAAGAAAATCACTTAAAAATGTAGTTAAAAATTATAAAAGGAATTAGATGTTACACTAGGAATTATCATCATAATACAAAAGAAGTCAGTAAAGGAAGAATAGAGAGACAAACACATAAGACATATAGAAAACAAATAGTAAAAATGGCAGATAGAAGTCCTACTTATCAGTATACTTTAAAAAATTAAATTCTCCAATTAAAAGGCAGAGATTGACAGTGGATAAAAATTATGATCCAACTATATGGTATCTATAAGAGACTCACTTTAGATTCAAGGACACAGTAAGTTGAAAATAGAAGGATGGAAAAGTATA